CAGGACTGCCGAGGAAGACGGAGGAATAAAGGACGCCACGACGCGCAGCATCGCTCGCCGCTCTTTGCGCGTCTGGCGGCGAACTCCATTCTCTACGCGGACACCATTTTCCTGAAACAAAACAATTTATTTCTTTAATCTTTGCACCTATTTATTTGCGTGAATCGAAAATCTCATTATTATTTTAAGTATTCTAGTATTATTATACGTAGATATACCGTCTCTATGACGACTCAATAGATTATCTTAATCGACGATAAAATTATATTTGAAAGGATATATGTACGTCGATTTAAATATATTCTGAAATAGATGGAGGAGGAAGAAAAAGAGGAGGAAGAAGTAGAAGAAGAAGAAAAAAAAAAGAAAAATAAAATAGGTGACAAAAATGATCGCTTCCTTTCGTTTCTTTTCCCAGCATACTGGGACCGGAAACAATAAAGTCATGATAAAAATAATTGAATAAGCGCGGCAAAGAGCACGTCCGATTACAGAGCGTTATTCGTTCGATCGTTTATCCGCCTAACGGTGCAGTACGATAAATGCATCGCGCGCTTATCCGCGAACGAGCGAAAGTCCGATAAAAAATTTATTATCGCGGAATAAACTCCGACGCGACGTGCTGTAAAGTAAATAGAAGTTTGCTCGGGTATGTGTGTGTGAGAGAGAGAGAGAGAGAGAGAGAGAGAGAACATTTGCTTTTATCTCCGAATTTATATTTGGGTATACTACACGAAACGTAAGTTTAATCGACTACGCTTTTAATGGACGATGTTCACGAAGAGATCGACGAAAAACTTGATCACTACGATTCGATCTATAAAACTATTATTACGTTTTATTCCAATCCCCTATGTCCTATCGCTGTCATTAATATCGTTAACTATCATATAATGACTACGATTATATTATTATTATTATCATCATTATCATTATTATTATTATTATTATTATTATTCTTATTATTATTGTAATTATCATTATCATCATCATTATTATTTTTATTGTCTCCAACGAAGAGACGACACGAGAGCGAGCGAGCGAGCGAGCGTAAGTGCAATTTTCTGGATGTGAAAATAAGAAAAGGCGTCTACTTTATTTCCACGTAGATCCCAAGCGAATGAGGATACACGGTAAGAAAGGGTGCCACCGTACGGGATAAGAGTAAGCCACGGAGCGAAGTAATTTCGCAAAGGAGAGGGAGTGGGAGGTCTCGCTGGATGAGAGAGGATATAGTCTTATCTCTGGAATATACCCTCCTTTCTCTATTCTATCCTTCTCTCTCTCTCTCTCTCTCTCTTCTCTCTCTCTTTATTTCTCTCTCTTTCTCTCTTCTGTTTCTACATGAAAATTATATCCTTAATACATTCGCTAGCACGCGTCATTTAGACATACGCGATCCAAGAACATATCTTACGGCATATTTATGTATGTACGTCGTAAACAAACGTTTAATAATAAACATTTAAAACATTGAAAAAAGGAAAAGAAAAAATAAAATCAACTTCTCGCGTAAACATTATTCGAACGAATGAACGAAACGTAGGCGCGAACGTGCCATCTTTATTATTACATAATTTTCTTACAGAAACATTGATTAGATGGTCCGAACGAAATGATAGGAGACCCTTAAAGCTTGATAGTGCGGTTTAGGTAGATGGGACAAATTCGTGGTCAAATCGACAAATTACGGGTTCTTGGCGATTATTTTCAAATCACCGGTGGCAAGAGAAAACATACAGTAAAGTAACTCACGGTTCAGAAAATATTAACACCATATGGAATGACTTTTCGGGTGAGACGCCTGTTCACACATCTACGACTAGAAAGATAGACGTCGAGGTTTTCCTTCTGGGCTAAATAAAGACGAATTCATGCAACTGGCCTTCTAAAGTCTGATCGAACGGAGGGCAAAAGCCGAACAGTATCGGCTATGTGTTTTTACACTCTCGAGGACGATGTCTCAAGATTCTGTCTCCTTTTTCTATCTCTATAGATATAGGTGTATATATATATATATATATATATATATATATATATATATCTTTTTCTATCTCGTATTAGGTATACGTCGAGACGAAACGAAGGAAGAATATATCAGGATTATTCGAAGACGTTTCTTCGTCTGGTTGGACCAGTACGAGCACACCAACCGTGTGCGTCACTGCTATTTCGAGATTCCACGTAGAGGAGAGACGAGGAGAAGAGAAAAGAGAAGAGAAGAGAAGAGAAGAGAAGAGAAGAGAAGAGAACTTTTGTATACCTGTAGTAGGAATCCTAGGGCGATGAGAAAAGATTTATAAGCGTTCGGAGACAGCTTGTAATCATACGCGTCGGGCCCATTAACCCCACGAGTTCTGATTTACCGTGGGAAAATATGAAAAATCCACGAATTCTCAAGCGTAACGCGTTAACTAACCACTTATACTAACATAGTTAAGTTGGTGGTACATCAAATCCTCGAGGGACACGTAAAGAAATTCTTATTCTCGCGGGCGATTGAAAATTTCGATAATAATCGTGTTTCATTTCGATAGGGATTGACGCAAAGCAAGTTCTTAATGAACCCTTTTAGTTAGGTAGGTAGGTAAGTAGATAGGTAACTAATACTATCGCGTTATTAAATGAACGTATCTTTTCCTGCACGCGAGTAACTTTAATCGTCTCTCTCATCATCGTAGTCTCGAGGATTCTCCGGAGTAAGAACTCGAAGAGAGAAAAGGAGTTCGAAGAAAGAAAAATAAAAATAAGATAGAAGAGAAAGAGAGAGAGAGAGAGAGAGAGAGAGAGAGAAAGAGTGAGAGAGAGAGAAAGGGAGAGGAAGAGGGAGGATTTGCTAAGTGGCATCAAGTGAGACGTCTCTTTTGAACGATCGCCGTGGCTAAATTGCGAGTTAACTTCGGTCTACGGGTTCGCGTGTTCGCGACAGTCATGCCACGCGCCCGAGTCATGTAGAGACGAAGACGAAGCGAAAACGAAGAGGAAGAGAAAGAGGAGGAGGAGGAGGAGGAGGAGGAGCAGAAGAAGAAGGAAGAAGAAGACGAAGATGAAGAAGAAGAAGAAGAAGAAGAAGAGGAACGGTCGAATGGTCGGATGGATAGCAGCACGATGACCACGTCATCATCGTCCAAGCCACCGACTATCGCTTTACTTTTGCATCCGAATATCCGACTTGACGTTTATAAATTGAAATGTAATTCGACTGGCACGCGACCGAGTTTCCCCCTCCTCCATCACACCCCATCTCCAGCAACCCCCACCCCCCGCCCCATCCCATCTCTTTTCTTTTCCCGTTCCCCTTCGCTTCATTTCGCTTTCTTTCTCTTTATACTTTTTCTCATGGCTAACTTCGTTCATTTAACAGATAAGGTAGATAGATATGTAGATAGATAAATGTAATAATTAAAATTATCAAAATGTTTTAATCTATTACAATGGACAATTGTTAAAGAGGTGAAGATTTGAAAAAAAAAAAAAAAGAAAAAGAAGAAATAGAAAAAAAGAAAAATCCAAGCCAAGTAGATATCATTATAGTACGGAGAAATATAATATATATAATATATATATATATATATATATATATATAAACCTAGGTTACATTCTCAATAACCCCATCACACAAGAGTTGCCTACTCGGTATAAATAAATCAATATAACTTGCTTTCACCCTCAGACGCCGCCCTCTTTCGCCGTAAGGAAGTGACGTATGAGGCTCGCATCTTCGGGACGAGGGTTGAGGAGGCAAGCCTGTTATTTCACAGTTAGGCTCGTCCTCCATCCTCTCTCTCTCTTTCTCTTTCTCTCTCTCTCTCTCTCTCTCTCTCTATCTCTTTATCTATCTCTCTTTCTCACTCTGCTCTTATTCTCTTTCTCTTCGTCCTATTCGGTCCCTAGTCCCGAGACCCGCGTTTCCAGCGGAGCACGAGTCCCACGGGAAGCTTTTGTCCTCGAGCTGTAAGCGACTTCCTGACAGGCCAAGTTTGCACCTGCTCTCCTTCTTGCCTGTATCTCTCTCTCTCTCTCTCTCTCTCTCTCTCTCTTTCTCTATATCTAACGATCTATCTCTCCCTTTCTATCCTTTTCTTCTTCTATCTATCGATCTATCCTTCTTCTTAAGCTCTATCTCTCTCGCAGCCACCCACCGATGTTGCAGACGCATAATTTATTCGAGGTTGGCACCCTCTTTCTATCCATCTCTCTCTCTCTCTCTCTCTCTCTCTCTCTCTCTCTCTTTATTTAGGACAAAAGTAATCCACAGATCAGCGATCGGGATGAACGAACGGCGTTGAAATTATTTTCTCCCGAAAGATTAGGTGGGTTACGTCTCAGGCATCAGTACCCGAGTAAGTTCTCTTTGTAAAACCGATTGGATATTTTCGAGAAGAAGAAGAAGAAGAAGAAGAAGAAGAAAAAAAGAAGAAGAAGAAGAAGAAGAAGAAAAAAAGAAGAAGAAGAAGAAGAAGAAGAAGAAAAGATAAGCCGAATAAGAATTTTCCACGAGTTACGTCATCGTCCGACGAAATCATCCGTCGTCTTTTGCGAGACAAGAACGGAGGAGAAACGGGAGGTGGCCTCTCGCAGATGTTCGAGGAGAGTCTCGAGTGATTAATGACGACCGATAAACGTAATTTGTTGCGGGCCCGCGTTCGCTCGGCTCGTCTTTCGAATTCAAATAGATAAACAGGACGCGGCGGTGCTCCGTAACGAGCGCCGCGCGAAAGGATCGAATTCTCTCGCCGGCTGCTGTCCACAGAGAGAATCCGAGAGGACAACTCAAAAGAGAGAGGGACGCAAAGAGAAAGAGAAAGAGAAAGAGAAAGAGAGAGCGCTTGAGCATAGTAATTAATTGTATGCAGCACGCCGCGCGATTTTCGCTATCTCGCCGACTCGGTCTCCGAGTGTAACCACCTGACTCTCCTTTATTGCTCTTCGCGATGGCGAACGATTTCAAACAAAGACTCCTTCGAGTAAAGCCCTTCTCTATCTTTCTTTCTCTTTCTCTTTCTCTTTCTCTCTCTCTCTCTCTCTCTCTCTCTCTCTCTCTCTCTCTCTCTCTCTCTCTCTCTCTTTCACAAACTCAAACTCTCTGTTCCTTCTACTAAGTAAAAAAT